ATGTCCAAAGTATGTTAGACGGAGTGTAGGTAGTGAAAATATGGCTGAAAATGTGTTTTGTTTTGTTTTCCAATGTCCAGCTGCTGTCAGTGTTCTCAGCCCCTGGGTAATGGGACTAGGCAGTGAGTGGTTCGTGGTTGACATTTACTTGGCATGGGTACACTATGAGGGACCAACAAAAGAAAAAGTCTGTTTTGTTTTGTTTTTTTTAAATGGGCCCAAATCATTATCTTTTGTTAACTGAAATGTAGAAAGACCTTAGAATGAGTCATTGCGTGTGTGAAATGTTTAGTGGCCCCACCTACAAGATGTTTATCTGCCGTGATGGGGGAAGTTACAAGCAGTCAGGGCCACAGAGTAGGGCCAGGAGACCTGGATCCTCATCCCTTCGGGCCCCTCTGTGTTGCTGAGAGTCTGTGAAACTCAGCAGCTTCCTCAGTGTGCGGTGAGAAGGGTGGACGCTCCCCCCCAGCTCCATAATTCTAAGTTTAGGGGATGACCTGTTTATTTCTCAGTAAGGGAAATATATTATCTTGAAATGGTAAGCATTTTTGGATGGAAATCTTTTTTTTTTTTGATGGAAATCTTAGTAAAGTTGTTAGAAAGAAACCTCTTTCTCAATCATATAGAAGAGGGATGGTGCTGCCTGGCTCCAGGACACACAGGGTTCATGATACTGGGACTTTGATCACACCCTCCACAGTTGTCACTTTTTGTACCATGTTCCTCTTCATCTTTATTTTGCAACAGAAAGGAAACAAGAACCGTAATCTTGCTGTTGTTGTGTACAGGCAAGTTGCAACTGACTCCTAACTGACCCTCTGAGTTTTCTGAAGCACAAACAGAAATTGCCTATCTTTCTCCCACAAAGCAACTGTATTTGAATGATGCGTAAAGGAAAAGGGAATTGTGAAAAGAGCAAGGGCCACATGAGGATGGCCATGTCTGACCTTTACCAGTTTCACAAAGGGAATTATCCCCATCAACAGTATCAATAACACACAATGCCCATGAGGTCACTTCATGTCCCCCATGCTTCTGTAGGTAACTCAGCCTTGAGCCTCATGGCTTTAGGCCAGTGTTACAAAGTTCTCAGTCCTGCCAATATTGCCTCCCCACTCCTCAGTCTTAGCCAGTGTTACAAAGTTTTCAGTCCTGTGAATTATGGCCTCCCATCCTGAGTTTTTCAGCAAACTTGGGCAAAGGCACTTAGCTTGAGTTCTAATGGTAAAGTAATACCAAAGTAGTTCCATCTCATATCAGGTCTCTATTTTGGCCATGATGGCTCTTTTCCTGGTAGTAGGAAGAGGTCCCATCTGTGGGGAGTTGTTCAATTTATTGGTAAGACTAGCCAATCCCTTCGTAGATTGTTGAGATTGGCTAACCCCTTGTGGATAGACTAACATGCTCTATTCACATAGGCCCTGTCCATCTGTATGGTCAGGTCAGATTTAGATGGTCAGGTCATACTGAAAGATGAGCTCCACAGGAATGCTCTACAAGGCTCACCTGGTTGTGACATTGCTTAGGTACCTGGAGTTTTTGTTCTTCACTGACTTCTGTGAGGTGCTGGATGACTTCATGAGAGATATGTCTCTAGTGGAGAAATCCGCCACTCCAGAGTTAAATTTATGTCACCCACATGCTCAGACTCTCAGGTTGGAGGAATCAGTACCTGTAGCTTTTTGCACAATATGGTATTATGATCTAAATATCTGAGGACAGGCCCTATTCTCAGACTAAGGGAAGAGAGAAAGTTCTGGAAGCTGAAATTATGGTGGTAAATTATTCATAGGTATTGGAGAAACTCCTGTGAGAAGCAGGTATGAGAGTCATCTATTGCTGCAAGGTCATGGAGTCACAAAGTATTTCCAATTATGAGGCATCTTTGGAAAAGAACCAACTAGGTAACCCTTCTAAACACATCGACATACTGTACACTCGATCTCCAAGGCTACAGAGAACAAGCCCAGGACCTATGACTTGTCTTCATATAATTTATAGAGGAAAAGGGGTAATCAATAAGAAGACAAGTAGTCACAGCAACTTACGGGAGGTATATTAGTAATCAGAATGATAAAATGGAGAGTAACTGGCATAGACCACTTAGCAAAGGGGGAGGGGGTAAAAGGAAGGGGTTCTGGGAACACTTGCTACTTGAGATGAGGAAGAAGGAAACATTTAGTCTCAGAATAAGGTAGAAAGCAAGGCAGGAGGGGCTCAGAAAAGACATCAACTGTAGCCAGGGTAAGGAGGTGACTATAATTCCAAATGCTCTGGAAGCCACTAAGGATTTTGGTTGGGCCTGGTTTGCATTTTAGAAGACTCATCTTTGGCTTAGTGGTTAAGGAGTTATGCTGCCACCTCAAAGGCATGTGGTTCAAATCCACCAGCTGCTCTGTGACAGAAAGATGAGCAATCTCCTCTCTTGTGACTTACTGCTTCGGAAAACTCACTAGCAGGTCCGCTCTAGGTTGGTTCCAACTTCATGGAAATTGGAGAGAAGCATCTTCAAAATTGGAGGCCATGTAGGTATTATTCAGAAATCTAGGAGAAGTGCAGGCTTGAGGAGGAATTACGGGAAATGGCTGTCCTTTGGATTATTTTTGAAGGATAAGATTGAAAGGAGTGAGGGACAGGAAGCTTCGAGGATGACTTTAGGTTTTTTTAGCTTGCATTAACTGTGCAGACAGGTAGAGACATTTATTTACTAAGGTGAGCAGATATGATGTGGGCTGGAAACCAAGACTTCTGACAGCCTCTTTTTAAGACAAAGGGGTTGCTGGGTCCTAGCTCTTTTTACTTTTAAGAATGTGAACATTACCAGTAATTTAAAGGAAGTTGAATCCTTTGAATGGCTGTCATATGTAGAGAACATTTGGGGAGTTGTTAGGGGCTGTCTGTCAGTTCTGGTTTATAGCAACCCTATGCACAATGGAGTTCTCTTGTGCCATGGAAGACGGCTCTGGGCTCTTAGTCGGTGGTGAGAGTGGGCTGGGAACCCCTTGTTGGAGCCAATGAGAGACTGGGGCAGAAGCTGAGACTTTTTAAAAAAATCAAGTCATTTGACTTGTAGAAGGGCCAGTTCTCTTATGCCATGGAAGACGGCTCTGGGCTCTTGGTTGGTGGTGAGAGTGGGCTGGGAACCTCTCGTTGGAGCCAATGAGAGACTGGGGTGGAAGCTGAAGCTTTTTTAAAAATCAAGTCCACTTGCTGTACTCAGAGGTAACTCATGGTTGCTGTGAAGCTCCCTGACTAAAACAAGCTTGGAGGCAGAAGTGGCATCCACTTCTAAAATAGCTTGCCTCCAGAAACCCTATGAACAAAGGATGAAAGTTAAAACAAGGGTCGCTATGAGTTGCCTACGACTCAATGACACTTAACAATAACATGCACAGTGGAGCACCACACTTACAACTGCTATTGGGCGTGAGTCCATTGCTGCAGCCACTGTGCTGGTCAATCTTATTGAGGGCCTTCCTCTTTTTCACTGAC